TCGATGCATCACTCTGTTCAACTGTCTGGATTTGTTCTTGTTGAGTGCTCTTCTGCTTTCTTATCTTTTCAAGTTGAGCATATTGATAACGTTTTACATCCCGTTTACGTCGTCCAGCGCTTATGCGTGGTTCAGTTTTGTAGACATCTTGTTGAAGTACTTGTTTAAAGCATAATCTACCTGATTCATAGAATGAAAGAAGGTCTTCAATGCCTCTCTCATTAACCTCTGGTGCATTTTGAAACAATTCACAGGGCACTGTAGGATCAGAATGTTCAAATGCAGATGAGAGGTTTGTAACTAGTAACCAAAGTTCATCTTTATACGTTCTAGTCATATGCGTACTCTCATCTGCCACAACACCAACATATTCTTCAAGAAGCATTGATAGACGATCTCTCTCATTCTGGGCAGCTTTGATCTTTGACATCATAGTTCTCTGGTCAGTGAGATTACCAGTAATATTTTGTTTAATATACTTTACGCCTCTTGTTTCAAGTGCTTCATCGAAACCAAGATAGTGCCCTTCACTTGTAAGATTGACTGAGCCTACTGTTGTTAATAATTTCTGTAGCTGTAAGTCATCATGAACTTGTGCCAGAAAATGTGCTACAGCACATGCATAATTATACTTTCCAGCAGCAGGGAAGATAGGTGCAAATGCAAACAAATTAGCTATCTGCATCTTGTAATTTCCTCTTCTAATTCCAATTCTATGACCCACAAAATAGCCTGCCCAACGATAGAAGAGATACCAGACCTTCACCAGCTGATTACTGCCTTCTAAAATGTCACCCATAGTTTGTCCTTTATGTTTAACATGCTTGCATAATGCAATCCCTACTGCAACCCAGATCAATTCCAGAATGCGACATGTTGATCGGTAATCTACAACACGTTCAAATTTATCTAGATAACGCGCATTAAGTGTTTTAGCAAGGTCAAATATTCCATATCCTGAGAATACTGTAATCAATGAATTGCACATATCTTTAGATGTGTGCCACTGTCCCAATAAAAGTCAGAAATTTTTATGCTCATCCTTGTAAGAAATTAATCTTGCAAATATTGCCTGGTCACATGCAACATATAAATCATCATCACTACCAAGAGATAACTCATCATGATACATTTCACATGAGTCATGGACATGATCATTGCAGTTTGGTTGAAACCCAGGTTCTAATATCACAACATTTGGTTCTGGAATATCACAACCTAAGGGTACCCACTTAGCAATCTTTATATGCACATCAGCTAAACTGAATTCATTTATATCATTTTCTAGCATTATATTCAAAGTAGTTTCATATGATGTCAGAAGGTCATCAGTAAAGTCTAATATTGTATTCAAAGTGGTCTCATATACTGTCAGAAGATTGTTGTTAGAAGGCCCTTCAAACAATGGTTCACCCATGACAATTAGGTTATCAAGAGAAGCAGGAAGAGTGAATTGAAATAACATTCGTAATGTTGCATGTGAAGTTAATCGCGTGACATCATATATATTTCCCCGTGAATATGTAGAGGCCCTGAAGTCAATATTATCAATTATTGCCAAATTCCAAATATTTGGTCCTTTTATCAACCTCTCTCTAGGATCTGCTTGATGTGTTCTAGATTGTTCAAGGTGGTTTTCATGTCGCTTTGTATAAGGGATAATATTTGTCAGGCGGAGGATTTCTTGCAAGTATGGAAATAGTTTTGGTTTCTGGCAAAGTGATGACAGTATATGTGTAAGCCAGATTTTCAATCCAGGAAAGGCAATAGTCAATATCATTGAGGTCAATAAAGCTGTAGTCTTTGTTATCTGATTTGTATCAAGAGACTTTAATTGAACGTGACATTGACCCCTTTTTTTATTGACAATAGACAGCTTCCTTTTTTGTAATGTTGTGATAAGGGCTTCAAAAAAATTGCGTGTTGTGTGAGGTAGTGCAGCAAAATAACTTTCATGACAGTTTGGGTTTTCTAGCTGGTCTATATTTTTCTGAATCTCAGAATGTGAGAATAAAACTTCCTTTGCTAGTTCTTCTCCCAGTTTTGATGCATTCTCTGGAGTCATTTTTTTAGATAAGTTGCTTTTCCTATTCTTTAATTTAAATATAGTTCGCACAAGTAACTTGCTTGGCAATGCCATTGTTTCCACTTTTGATGAACTGTCTTTTGATTGGTCGTTTTTAATATTAATAGTTGACATTAGCTGTGAAAGAAGATTTTCTTGTTCAACTTTACTACCTGACTCTATTACTAATGATATCCAATCTCTAAATTCCTTCAAGGAATCAACAGTGTCATCAAAGTGGTTTGTATCCCGTGTACATGACATAAGTTCATGGCCTCTGCCAAGCCTTTCTTGTAAATGCCCACCCTGATGTTGGAAACATTTTGAGCATATGTAGCGTGCACGTGTGCTTGAAGAAGACTTTTCTACAACGGATTCATTATATTCAAAAGCAATACAACGAGAAGTACCAAAACAAGGCACTTGAATATTGCATCCATCAATCTTCCATGAATGTGCTGAACAACATTTACCACGGCTGAAAAATATTTTTCTCTCATTGCAGAATAGGCAATAACGATAACGGACCATGCACTGCTCAGTTGTATGTAATTTTTGCAAATCCATGTCTTTATGCACTTGGTTTGTATCGAAGGTGTAATGAGAGTAACATACTCCAACCTGATGAATTTCTTTCTCAATATCAATGTCTTTAAGCACATTTGCATCTAACTCCCATGTTCCTACCAGCGAGCTTAAAGTTCGATTATCAGCTTCAGCATTACAACATTTCAATTCACCTTCATCCATACATATAAGTGGACATCGAGTCAATTCCTTATTTCTGATGGCAGCATTAACCTCTATGTCCATCTCATCCGCTGTATCCCGTATTGTAATTGTTGGATTAGATTCACTGTGAGAATAGAAATCTTCGAGTTCAATTTCATTCCAGTCCGCATCAGCATTATTTGAAATGAAATGAGCATCCGTGAATAATTGGTAAATTTCCTCTTCAAATTCAATGTCAGAAACAAATTTCGAATCACCCATTCTGAAAATTTATATATTCAAAAGTTGTTTCTGAATTTCAAGGTAGTGGTACTTTTATATTTGGTTTTTAAAGATGGAAGTACAGAAAATTGTAGTAATAGATTAAATTGTCACTTGCGCTTGTTTACACCTTAAACGCAAGTGAAAGAAAATAGAAATCAATATTTTATAAAAAACGCATGTATTTAATTTATAATAATGCGCTCACATGCCACAGCTGCTAATATTAATATTAAGTATCGTTCGTATTTATCATTATTGTTATTGTTACTACATTACTTAAATTTTATTATTATTATTATCAATAATAATAAGGTCCTCGGTTATTTGAACTTTTGTTAAAGCACATTTGGAATATCCGATACGGCTACAATGGATTACCTATCACAGTCTGAACGAAATTTTCCCTTTGTCTTAAAACCGAAATGTTTACCCTGAAAAGTGTTTACTATGAGACCATGTAAGTTCTATTTTCGGCTTGGCAACTAAATGCGCCACAACAGGGGCAATATTTCTATTTTAAACTTTATATGCGGAGAGAATTCCACAACACTAAAACGCATGATGTATTACCAAACATATAGTGGCGTAGAGACACAATGACGTACTAATAATAATAACAGGAATAAGTAATACTAATACGCTTTCTCTCGTACTCGCCACATGACGTTAACAAAGCGCATAATAGTAAATAATAGTGACAATAATAATAACAAAAGAAACTTTATTTCCATCCAAAGTAAAAGCACATGGATTCAGGGGGTGATGCTTAACATTCTTTACCATATCATGCTTTAGTTAACTTTATCCAGTATGTTGGGACAATACTAGTACCCGGAACTATTAATGAACATAGACCACATTCCAACATTCTTTCATCACAAGAAAAATTTTTTCTCCAGAAACAGAACCTTGTCAGAAGGCTTTACAATTTCTTTCAAATCTCATGTAAGTATTGCAAGCTGAAATGTAGACTCGATTTCAATAAAAGGAACCAGCTATGAAAACAAAGTGCGTTTTGTCCACGACAAGTTTTCTTACTAGGCGCAAACATTTTTACCGCAAAATCCGAAAAAGTTTATGTAATTCTGTCTCCATCTATCGTTCAACGGCAAAAGACATAGTTATATATAGCATTACGGCCGCACATTTATTGATTATCATTACGATGGATGATAATTGCCAAAGCTAGCTAACTTGTTTGTAGAATATGTCATCAGCTCGCTTTCTGTTCGTTGCTAGCCATTCAACTGAGTCATGAAAGAACGGAAATACAGTAGGTCTGGTGTTACTAATTATATGTTATAATTATAATTAATATTAATACTAATCTTTTGTTCTATTGTGCGCAACTTCGGCCGTTTGAGCAATACGGTGAATGTGATAGATTATTTGCATTCGCTACAAAGCCGAACATTCTTTCGTCGTTTGACTTGTGAAACGTAAGGGCAATTGACGCCACAGTGAGAGGGTGGCAAACTTCTATTAATAACTTTACATGAACTGTAAGCGGAGAGAATTTTGGGAATTTAGGTGACACTTATTATACAGATTTCGTCATCATTCAGGTTATTAACAGAACAGCATTATTTATTATTATATTGTGCTGATGGAAATCTGCTCGGCTTAACACTAAGATTTGGTGATAGCTTATTGCGCTGGATTTGTGATATGTGGATACTATTTCATATACCCGACTCATCGATTTTTTATTTTCCCAAATTTGGCCAGTTAGACATTACCGAATTTCGGCCGTCTGAAAATTATGACCCGGACTTGGCGCGTTGCTTTTCTTATAAAAGACAGGTCGTTCACGACAGAGGAAAAGCTAAGTCTTTATTTCAGAAATCTAATTGATTACTGTTACTATCACTATCACTATCACTATCACTCTCACTCTCACTCTCACTCTCACTCTCACTATTACTATCATATTACAAACATGAGCAACATCGAGGACAACCACTTCGTCTTGAACTGCAACGAAAATGAGGCCAAGCTATACTTCAAATATTGGCTGGAGTATGTATATCTTGCCAAAATATCATCATTCACAGGAACGAACGTGACGGCAAAAACTGCGACCGCAGCATATTTGACCGAATTATCTGCTGCTATGGACGAATGTGCGGGGAATAAACGACATAGTGCGAAGTTGACACATGTGCAGAAGAAATTCGGTACAATAAAAAAAGTGAGTATTGCGATTAACAATTATTTGAATTGTGTCATAAATATTAATGATGATGCGAAATGTGGTAGTTAAATTGTTGGTTATGACATGGGCCCATGTCAGTATGCTGATCCGGGCGTCGTCGTGCAAGGTCTTAGTCTATGGGACAAAAAATGCCGGCTCTGTAGACATCAAAGGATTAGTTGTACGGTTCCATCGTCATGCGCTTGGCATCCTGAGGTGCTTTTGCATTAAGCTGCTACGGGCTATGCCTCGAGTACCCCATCGGTAGTCAATGGCATGGAGCTTATAATAAGATAATAAATACGAATGACTCTGATTTGATTTGTCGCTGGTCTGATTTTGAAGACACATTTTGAAATACTCTTATTATTATATAACATTTTAATAACCAAAATTAATAATCTGGCTATTTTAGGAAAAAATATTTTCAGATGTTTATAGTAAAGTAAAGAAAGAGGTGAGGCTTCAATCAAGTATAAGTGTATTGGTTGCATTATTATTATTGTTATCAATTAATTGACTGAAGCATAACTCTATTTATATTTTAGCGCTCAGATAATGAACAAGAGCGGAATAAGCTCTTAATAAAGAAGAACGTAGATAAGATTATTAGTTGATGCGTAAGTAAAATGTCAGCTGACAGTTTTGACTTGGTTTTATTATATTAATAAATTGTATTAATAATGATTATAATAAATATTCTAGGAAAAAATGGAGACTTCTTGCAGCAGAAAGGATAGAATTGTGTATAAAGCGGTTTGAACGCTTCTGACACAAGTAGATATAACCAAAATTCGTCCCAATGATCCACTAGCTTCTGGGGTGCTAGACCTGACAAAGTTGGGTGATTCTCATATGGGTCAGTTGAAAGAGGACGTTGTCAAGTTGTTAACTGCCAGCGTCTTTGTAAAAGAAGTCAATCTGCTGAATGAGGCCCAACAATTGCTTGACGAATTTGTAGATTCGTACAAGCATTTAGGAACCAAATTCCATCTATCAGATATGGATGGAATCAGTTTCCCAGTGGGCATAAAAAATCCCCAGCTCAAGGCAGATATGGGGATGTTATGGAGTGTGTTAAACGGATTGTAAGTATCAAGCTATTGGTTGCATCTGATTTGTTATAGTAATAGTAATAGCAGTATTAATACTATTGAATATTTTAGGCGGTATATCTGGACATGCACACCAAAGTTGGACGAGATAAGTTACAGTGAAAATGCTTTTGTGATAGAAGCTGTATCAAGAATTCTCACACCGATTTTTGGTTACTGCTCAATTCCACTTACATGTTCATGGTAATATATGTTGTTTTTTGTGGGTTGGCCTTCTTAACCATTTTGTGACAGGTATGCTAACATACACAATTCTATTGTTACACTACAGGGGGGAGCAAACGAGTGAATCGTCCAGATTTCGGAAGGAGCAGATGAGGGCAATGGCATCTCCAAACAAGCCTGACTTGTGTATCCGCCTAGAGGATATTGCTGTAGAACTCATTTTCTGTGAGTTCTCGTCACTAGAGATGGGAAAGCCAAAGCATCGTGACGATTGGAGAAAGTCAGTTTGTGCATGCAAAGATGGTATGATATGTTCCGTGCTATATGCTTTGAAGGGAAAAAGACAGATTGTGATGAGGCAAGTAGATTAAAAATATCACTAAATGATATACCAAGTATTGCAATCTTGAACAAAGGGACACATTTGACAATTTCAGTTGTAGACACCTTTAATGGTAATTTCTTTAAAGCTTATGAGATATTAGATATGAACTTACCATTAAAGCCAGTCAATTGACAGGAAGTAGAAGATCTCTTAGAGAGGGCTCTTCACTTGAAGACATTTATTGAAGAAGTTGTGTGTGGAGTGAAAAAGGTGTTGGATGAAAGCGTATCTTTGCCTGTTGATGATAATGAAGAAGATTTAGTGAAAAGGGCAGAGGCTTTAACCATATCCACAACACCTTACTCTCCAAATGCTAAGCACTACTGATTCAATAATTTAACTGAAATATGTCAGATTTGTCCAATTTCCCTTGAAGCATACACACAGACTATTAGAATGATAGTGTAATAAATATAATATTAATTAATCAAGTGCATGTCGATGAAAAATCAGATTATATTTGGCTACTTATACAATTGCAATGTTCTATCAATTGAGAGTCCTGAATTCACCGAGATACAATAATTGGTTTCGAAAATTGTATGCTAGTCGAAACAATTAAGACGTTCAACAAAAAGGATCATAAGGGAATCCAGCAACCATAAAGAACAGAACGTTAGATCTATGAATGAATACATAATGATATTAGTAAAAAACGGCAGGTACCAAATCGCTTTGACCACACATGCATAGCTTCACATCTGAATACCAAGTCCCAACACCGTAGTCCCTCCCACATTCCATGTAACTGTTTAACTGCTAAAGCTTATTGTTGATAAGCAACAACAAAGTGTGCCATACTAATACTTCTTCTATCAATGATATTAGTATTAGTG